GTGGAGTTTCCTCATGTTCCTGTAGAAACCTCTCCAGTATAATCCGAGCCATTAATGAGGGTGCATAGTCCACCTTTATAAAGCAGAAGTAGAAAATTAAAACTGTCAAGATGTGCAAGCAGTTGATATTCCAATATTTTGTCAACAATGAAGATTAAGTCAATTTTAATCAACCACAGCAAGCATCATTCATTAAAATCTTTCCCACCCTCGGTGGCTTCCATTATAATAAAATTATAACAAGTATGATCTGTGCTGTTGAAAAGAATAAACAGGTCGTATTTATTGAATATAACATTGGAACAAAATGGCTGGAAAAACTAGTACATAGTATTTRTCTAAAACAGTGAAATAGGTTTTTCTCACCTCTCAATTTTTTTTGTTGTTAAGCCAATATTATTTTTTATTCTAGTCATCCCTTTTTCTACCCACTTGTCTAAATTTACATTATTTTGGACAAAATTTAAAATTAAAAACTCTCTGTTCCATAGTAATTTTTCAAAAAATGAATCAAATTGATCTTAGTAATTAAAATTATGGAGTTTACTGATTTTATCTTTAATGAGAAATGAAATTTTGGTATAAGTTCCTAACATAAAATATTTTATTTGACAAAAGAAAAATAACTATATCACAGAAACATCAATAATAACATACAACAATARTATCTGCAAATATAAGATCACCATCCTTAGGTCTATCTGAAATGCTCCTTATCAATTTATTTAATATAGAACCTAGCAAGTTAACTTTTTTAAAAATAAGGGATCAAACACTAAACAAAGAGTACTCAGTTGAATGGACATTTTAATTAATAAAAACTGCATCTACTCTTTTGTAAAAGTATTGTCTTCTGTTTCGCAAATGTTTCATTAGACATAATTTCACCAGAAAATAGGTATTTTTAAAAAAATTTTTTTAGTTGTAGATGGACACTACCTTTATTTTGTTTATTTATTTTTATGTGGTGCTGAGGATCAAACCCAGTGCCTCACACCTGTGAGGCAAGTGTTCTACACTGAGCCACAACCCCAGCACAGAAAATAGGTAGTTTTTAAGAGCAATAGTGCTTCCCTAAAACAAGTCTTTTAATCTTAGGGATAAGACAGCAAATGTTCCTCATATATTATCACCATGAATTTTTCCTGACAGGTTTTCAAGTCCTGTATTCATACCAAAATTTTATCTTGATTTAGTAACTAGACAAAAAGGCTAGCTTCATTTGTATGAACAGTTTTTTCAAATATGTATGTACTTGGATGCCCTTAAATTCCCCAAGTAGAAAAAAATGCTTTCCATGAAGCTGCTTATTCCTAGTAACCCACATCAGAGCTGACACATGAAAAATGGTGAAATTACTGAAGGTAGTCCAGCCTGAATAAGGACTACCTTATTAGTTCAGGTACTTGCATCTCCCTAATTTTCATATTAATCATGTGTCCATCTCTCTCTGAAATAGGGCCATCATGCTTCATGTCAGAATTTAGCATGTAAGTAAAATTCATAGTGCTTCAAATCTAACTTGAAAATATTTGTGTGGGGAGAACAGAATGACTGATCTTATTAGCACTAACAAAGAGATTTCCTAAAATGTTCATTTTTATCCTTGGAATAGGAAAGGTAGTATTAATACATTTATAAGATCAATGACAGCCACCTATAACCCTTACCCCCCAAATCAACAATGTAGTGCTTTTATCTAAGGGAGGTACTGTGCACTGTAATGTATCAATGTTATATAGTTCTCATCAATTTTTAGTTTCCACTGATTAAATATATATTGACTCATAAAGTATTACCATCATATCAGTTGTCACTAGATGCAAACATATGTCATTTAAGTATTAACTATCATATAAAAATGGCAGCTTAGTTGTTTAGATGCTATAATCTGGTACAGGTCATTCCCAGAAACCTCATAGAAAGTGCTATTCTCTTTTTATTCATCTGCAGCCAGAAATTTAAAAATCCTTCAATAATTTTTGGCTATATATCTCTATACATTCATGATAAATAATAGATATATTGATGTAGGAGAACATGTTCTGGTGCATTTAATTTTTCCATATTGTTAGAAGATGGAAGTTGAGGTCYGCTAAATAAGTTAAGCTCAACAGAACTATCCACTAAAAATTCAAATGAATATAAACTGCTACTATATAAAACTTTATGTCATCAACATCATTATCTATAAAAATAAGTTTCATATTTGCATCACTTTCTTTCTAAATGCTTTATCTGGAATGGTGTTAGCTTACTCTTTCTTTTCACAAAAGACAATCACTAAACATCTAATTATAGCTCAGATACCTCAAGTTATTATAGTATCAACCTGTAACAAACAAGTCTGGAGACACTTAAAGAGCACCCTGCTTCAGAAACAGAAAAAAAAAATGAATAAAATACATGTTTTGCAAGGAGAAGAAAAATTCATTCTACATGTTAACTATCCTATCAGATTGTGTAGACATTGCCTAGACTATTAAAACCTTCTAGTTACTGATAGGCAATTGCTCATTTGCTGACTGCAGCGGAGTACAGCAGACAGAAGCTGTGAGGGAAGCCATCCTTCCTTGCTAATATAACATGTAGAACTTGCTGCTACTGCAACACTTAATGCTTATAGTATGGGGTCATCTTTAATGCAAACACACATTTTCTGCCTTGCTTCTATGTTTTCCATTATAATGCAACACAGTGTACATTTCATTCCATCCCTATGAGGTTTGCATAAGCCTTTCCAAGTCAGACTAAATATTGTATTGCTCTTATTACAGTGGATAAATATTTTAGAGTTTAGGAATTAAATATTTTATTTTTTGGTTTGCTCTCTGCAACTATTATGAACTTTTTATAGCTTCTTCATTCACAAGAAATCTTTAGGGCTTCCTTTTTTAAATGTAAGGCTGTTAGTTGTTTCCCCAAACAGAAGCAGATCAGAGTTAACAAATAAGTTCAATAAATCACTTTATACTGGTGTTAATAAGAATATTATGTTTCTTCTTAGAAAGAGACTTTTCTAGAAGGCATGCAATAATAAAGGTTTGCAAACAAAAAAATGTATCAAGTAAATGTTACATTTTTAAGTATACAATTTCTCTCTTCATTTTTACAATAGTTAGCATAGATTTTCTTGGCATACATCTCTTTACATGACACAGGTATTTCTCACACTAAATTAAGACAACATATCCTAAGAAGAGCATGTCCTGAGATGCTTGGTTTAAGTTTTCCACAAAATAAGAAACTAAGAAGCTGTTTATACATTTGCTTTAAAAGAGGCAGACTAATTATGTCAACTGATTTATTAACACATGAAGTTCTTTGTCCAATTATTAAAAGTACAAAGAGACCAGGGAACAATTTAAATGTCTAATATACCTCAAAAATCTTTTTTAAGGTTAATTATAATTCTAAGCAAACTACTTCAGATAGGCCCCTTAGGTTTTATGCAAGTTTAAATAAAATCATAACAATAATATTACCTCATTGGCCAGCTCAAGGAGCACTGGGGCAGCTCCATTTTTCACCACTCCATTCAGGTACCTAGACAAGACAAAGCCAAGTGATAATGCAGTGACGAGAAAAGGCCAGTATAGACTTGTCAGTATCCCCTGTGTGTACACGTTTCTCCTGGGCAAATGCCATGTTCAACTCCTGTTAAAGTATGCTACTGTCATAGAAAAGCACTAAAGAGAAAAGGATAACAAAAACAACTTACTTCAAAACTAACTAACTAACTGAAGTAGGGCTAGGAGGTATGAGCACATCAGTCTCCCTTGTTTACACTTTTTATAATGTCAAAGTGAACAAAGAGGTTATTTCTAAAGAACTTTCCATATTATTCTGACTTTGTCCATACAATAGACAACTGTCAAATGGAAAGAAAACAAGTGACTCTCATAATTTGAAGAAAGCATACATGTACTCATCTCACCTTTTTCTTTACCTCTGTGTCAGAGGGCTGTTGATACCTTATCAAGAAAAGAAGGGAACAGCCTTGTCACCAGTAGGCAAGCACACCTTTGATAGGCAACACAACCACCAACTTATCTGCCCTGGATTTCTCTAACAGCCTCCAGCTCTCATCAACACATAACTTTACCATAAACCAAAACCAAAAACAAAATTCCCCAAATCCATCCAACACAAGGAAGACAGGGTGAATTTTTCAAAACAAAAGTTTGAATATGCTATTATCCTCCTTCAAATATTTTGAAGGCCCTATGCTAAAGCTCAAGATTAAATTATTACTACTTAACAGCTCTATGATAGGTTCTTCATAATCTATCTACTCCATTCTGCTAGCCTCATCTCCAGTCACTGTCCCCTACTCTTACTCATCACCTGGATAAGTTAGGAATCAGCCCAGATGTCACCTTCTTCAATCTAACACCATTCAAGTGTAACGTCATGCCCTGCACAGGCAACTGAGCGGGAGCCTGTATATCTCCCCATCATATATTATAGCACTGCATTCTCCTAGTTGGAGTCATCCACCCTGATCCTCAAAGGACGTATTYCAAGACATGGTGCCTCAAATCATGGATACTACCAAACCCTAAATATACTGTTTTTCCCTAGATATACATACATATCATAAAATTTAATCTACAAATTAGGCACTCTAAGAGATTAACAATAACAAAACAGAACAATTATAATAAAATACGATAACGAAAGTTATGTAAATATGATATTTCTCAAAATCTTATTTAACTATACTCACCCTTCTTTTGATGCTTATGTGATGAGATAAGATTTATGACACAGGTATTGTTACACAGTGTGAGGCTATTACCAATCTTCAGATACTAAGTCATAAGAAATATCATCAAGCCATATGCCAGATGACCACAGGTTAAATGACACCATGGATAACAAAACTCTGGATAAGGTGGGACTTGGGAGAATTGTCTACCTAAACTCATCACTCACTGTAACGAAGATGTAGTAAAAGCAATTTTTTGAAGATAGGAAGAATGTCAGGGTTATTATAACTTTAAAATAATTCTAACAAATCCAATTTCCACATAATGGGACCCTTCTTGAATATATTATTTAGTAAACTAACTAGGAAATAAGGACTTTTAGATGCAACAAGAAAAATAACAAAGACAAGTGCAGTTTAGAGGATGGTCTCTGAGAAATAAGTCAGCTAAGAACCACAAYTGACATGAACATTTCCAGTGTAGGATTGGCCTGCTCAGGCAACAACCAATCAGCTCAGTCAAGCCACCAGCTAATCATGTTTGTAACCCCAAAAGTGCATACTAATTAAGGATTCCGATTCTGTCTGGGCCAAGATATTTAATCCTAAACCCATATTAAGATATCTTTACAATTTTCTATTAAACATCCATGTATCCCACAAGTATTTTTGAGAGCTATGGGTTGGGCCTTAGTCCAAGTTCTGAAGAAGCATCAAGGAATAAAACAGCACTTGTTCCACCTCCACAGAGATATTATAGTGGAGAGACACTCAATAAAAACAAGGAGGAACAAATATGAAACATACATGTTATGATAAAATTTAGACTTACATGGGTTAGTCAGGAAGACCCTCAATAAGAGAGGCACTTCGGTGTCTCCTCTACATGAGATGAAGGTACATGTTTCCAGGGCTTCCTGGACATAGTACGAGAGAATAGCTAGATGCCAGACCACTTCTTGTGCCAGGGAACTAGTTTAGAATAAAAATTACATGATTTCACATAAATGTTGCATCAATCTTTATCCTGGTAATAAACAATGGAAACCTCTACCAAGTTTAAAGAAACAGGACATGGTCAAGCAATAATAGTAATCCCCTATATTTACATAGTCTGAATAACATCTGAAGGTTGTTATTACACTAGAAATTATGTGGTTGGCCATAGCTTCTCAGTTGTTCAAATTAGGAAAATTAATCCCAGTGCACTGATGAAACCTACCCAGGCTCTAATGGCAGCAGYACAGCTCAGAAAGGGAACCCTGACCCCTGGCCCAGGGCCTAGTGGGGGTGCCTTCATATGAAAACAGTAAACTTACTTCTTAATGAATTTATGCCCCATTTGTTTCCCAACTATATCCTACCACATTTCAGAAATGCTTTGGGGATGGAAGGGAGTAATTACATTTAACTTGAGGTTCATTTTGTTCTTTGTGAAAACTTAATTGTGGTTCCACATGAAAGCAACAGATTAGGCTATATTCAGATTTTCATATATGCACTCAAAAAATATACTGAAGTATCCAAAATATTCAATAGAGACATAATMAAAAATTGTAGAGGTAGTGGTACRTGCCTATAAACCCAGCTACATAGGAGGCTGAGGCAGGAGGATCATTTAAACCCATGAATTAGAGAATAACTGAGTAACACAACAAGATCCTATTTCTAAGAAAGAAAAAAGAAAAGATGCCATCATTCTCTGAATTATCACAGAAGTGCAAACTTACAGCATTGTACTTCTGACACTGGCATAATGGTCTGCTTTTCTCTCCAACTAGACAGGAAGCTCCTTGGAGTATGACCTCACAAATATCCAACAGATCCCTAGCAAAGACCTGTGTGGTGAAGAGGATATGAGGAGATCATCCTGAACAATACATTAGGTAATCTGGGCTCCATTCCTAAGGCCAATTTGTCAATTAAAACTACTTCACTTAGAAGCCACACCTCATCCTTTAGTTCTGCCACGGGGGGGGGGGGGGGGGGGGGACCACCAACAAATATATAGCCTATGGGTGAAGTCATCCTGAGAAGATCCTTAGAGAAGACCTACTTTATGTTTTTTGGCTGTGAAAGATCCATTAGCATCTAAAACTAAATAATATATACTTATTTTAAATATAAGATAAAGTTATTTGATCTTTAATATTTTCATAATAAATCTAATGGCAAAACTTCAAAAACCTACCTAAATTATCATGCTAGGCTTACACCTAAACAGTATCTTTGCTGAATTTACCTCTAAAATCTCCATAACCCATCCCCACTGCTATTGCTGCCAGTCTCTCTCCCCCAAACTATACCAAGAGCTAGCGTAGGAGGCTTCCCTGTTTGCAGCTCACCCAACCATCTATCCTGTTTATAATGCCACAGAACTTCCTTCCAGGCATAAAAACATGTATAGTCTACTCCTTGCTTAAAATCTACCACTGGGTTCATACTGCCTATTTAAAAGAAAAAAAAATACTACTCCTTTGAACAATATCCTCAGTACCTGCCTGTATTCCCAGGCTATTTTGCCATTCTCCATTTGTTCTCTAGACTCTACCTCAAAAACATCATAGCTCTGCTACTGAAGGCCTTCTCTCAACATGGAAAGCTCTCCCCTTCTCAACAAACTTGTAAAGGTGAGCCTTTTATTCCTAGATTGTACACATTCATGCTACCCCGCACCCCTCAAATGGATAACTTTTCTTACCACATTTTACATATTTAGGTACACAGCTGCTTTCCCACTAAATGGAAAAGTTGAAGGTAGGTACTGTGTTAGTCACATTTTATAGTCAGTTTCTAGCATGTGGATAGGATACAGTGCAAACACAGTAATGGTGCTAACTGAAAAAAAAAAAAAAGTACAAATTTTCAGAATCATTTTATCATGTATTGTCAATATCATAATTGAACTACCCTTTTCTCCATGTGAACATCTGAATAAAATTCAATTGATCTGATTCTCTTAAGCTACTTAAGGTAGCCCCTTAGTCAATGTGTCTTGGGAGAAGGAAGGAGATGAGACATAGTATTTCTGACCTTCACTACTGATGAGGACTTGCAAATCTAACCAATTATGTTTGTGCACATAAATCCATGTGCACCAGGTTAGATGAAACTAGATAAATTTTATCAAAAATGTTTCCTCTTTGGAAATAAAATGACATTAGTATAGTGTGAAAGAATAGAGAATTGTTTTCAAACACAATACTTCACTGTCTATAAATACACAACATGGAGAACTGAGGAAATTTCCTCAGTAATTCAAAACGTTTTCTTCTGCTATCTGGATCCTATGAAGTTTCAGTTAATCATGACTCAATCACATGAAACGCATCCTTTGAATTTGTAGTTAATATTATCTCAATACTACCAAGAATACAAAAACACAAATTTCTCTTATACTGTGAGTAGGAATATAACCGGTATATTCCTAGACAGTAATTTGGCAACATATAATGATTTTTTTAAGCATTCACATTGTTTGCACCAGTAAGTATATACAAAGACAGTACCTCACACATGCAAGGAAAGCACTTTACCACTGAGCCTCAGCCCCAGTCCCAATATACAAAGACATAAAAAAATGAATCCAAAATGTAGACTCATGAATCAAGATGTTTATCACAGTATTATCTACAATATCAAAAATATTGAAAACATAAATGTTCAATGGAGGAATAGCTCAGTATCTTTTGATACTTTCATATGACAAAGTAAGGCAACCAATAAAATAAGAAGCTTTTTTACAAAATACTATTATATCATTTACATTTTTCTGAGTATACAATTCAGAATTCATAATTGCATGTACATTATGACTTAAGTAAAAAAATAGATTGAGGTGCTGGGGTTGTGACTCAGCCGTACAGTGCTTGCCTAGCATGGGTGAGGCGCTGGGTTTGTGCCTCAGCACCACATAAAAAAAAATTATAAAAAATAAAAAATAAATAAAAATGAAGGTATTGTGTCCACCTACAACTAAAAAAAAATATTTAAAAAATGGGTTGACAAAAAACTGGAATGAAATTTTAACCAACAGTTATCTCTGAATGGCACAAGTATGCGTACTCATTTGTTCTTTTTGTAATACCATCACAAAGGTGCTTAATTTTTCTAATGGGGAGTATTAATTTATAAAGCAAAAAATTAATCTGTCACTAACATTTTCAAACTGCTTAAATATGCTTTCATTCAACAGTTTGCCTTTATTATAATCAGCTGGAAAACAAACAAAAACCTCTCAAGACCAATTTATCTTAGTGAAAACAGGGACATTGGGCCTGCACATTTAGAACAAGAGGCTTSTGAGGTCAATCTATCCAAAAGGTAACAACATGCTTATCCTCGGTCACAAAGTGCAGAACAGAAGTATGGAAGGAAACTAGTGATAAGGTAAGAAACTGCTCAGACTGCTTTCTTCTGAATCTGTTCATTACAGCATAACTTCATGTTTTTGTTTCAAATGCTCTAGCTCCTCAGAATACAGAAATAAATTTCTATATTCTCATTACTACTCACTCAACCATTCATTACTGAGTGACAATGTGAAAAATGTCTGTCTCTGGCCTAAACTACCCAGATAATACAAAAATGTATTTTCATACTTCCATTCTTAAAATGTTTTTTAATGAAACTAATATTTTAAAAAGTAGCAGAGATATTAGAATCTAATTTAAAAAAAAATCTTTTTACAATGAGGCAAGTGACACAGGGTGGCCCCACCACCTGATAATGGGCTTGCAAATTTCTAAGAAAAGAGTAGACTTTCCTCTAAAATGCTCTTTTTTCCTCAGCTTGTGTTTCAAGGTTTTAAATCTGGACATCAAAGCATGCTTTTCTATGATAGCCTAGCACTAGAAGGTTTACAAACAAGAATGTATTTTTTTGGCATGTAAAAAAATGGCTTTTCAATCTTTCTTTGGAGAGTACGAATGCCACAGCTTTCACAGGACTTTATGGACAGTCTTAATTTTATAATATAGGATCAAGGTTATGACTGAAATTTAAATGTTATAAGGTACTTGTGACTTCTGAATAACTTACTTAAAACTTTACAAAGACTGTTCAGAGAAGAACTCTCCTAGACACAAGTGTGTGGAGTAGAGTAGAAGAAGCATATGTATCTTTAATAGATTGAGCTACTCAAAACAAAGAAAACATTTTATCAAGTGGCTGAGTGAATACTTTTTTTAAAAAAATTTAATTTCAATAACTTCTCTGTTCAATATCTATACCTCAGTTCTTAAAAATGACTACAGAAATATGRCACCAACTTTATCCACATATTTATTTCATTCATAAAATTTTTGTGCATAAAAATCATTCATCTGAAATCAGTGGTGTCACTCTCAAACAGAAAAGGTTGATCTGTCAATCTGAGTATAATAATTTAAGAGCATATTTCAAACAATTTTCCTTTCCAATATGCCCTTGAAATATTTAAGAAACCAACCATTTCTAATGCAAACCTTTAGTGTTATAAATTATTAAGTCATATTATAATAACAGTACAAATTTTAGAAATTAAAAAAATCAGTTATTTAAGATTCTGTTTGTTTCAGAACAAGAGACTGAAAAGTATTTATAATAAGTAATGCTACAATTAAAATAGCTTCTGGATACCATGTTGTTGATTTGATGCCCAAGATTTTCTTTTAAAATATAAAACCCTCTTTAAAATGTGACAATCATACAATACGATGTATTTCCATATGTCTTTAGTTGATATATCTTTCCTATTTTGTAAAGTGGCTAACATAATACCTATGACGCAAAACACAGGTACATCAAAATTCAATCATATTCTTTTGACTTGCCAATCTAAATAAGAAATAAAAATTGGTTTCAGAATTTTCATATAAACACATAGATGTATGCATATATRGACATATGCATTTAGACAGATATGCACTTATTGTAAGTTTCAAGAACTGAGATTCAATAATATTTTAACTACCTAGTATTGTACACACACACCATAAGACAGCATCACCATATTCTTAGGTCTACAATTAAAAACTCATTCAAAAATACACCAAAAGTCTTAAATACAGATTCGAAACAATGTCTTGGGGTATAATAAAAAAATTAATTTGATAATCTAATTTATTCATAATTATTATTACAATTAATAGGTACTATGATACCCTCTAGTGGGGCAGGCAGGTCATACCTCTGGTAATAATTTTCAATTGCTTCCGAAGTATGATGTTTGGCATGTGTTCTTTTAATATGTTTCTGAAACAAAACAAAATAAAATCTTTACATTGTGTCACAGAGCAAGTTCAAGAACAATAATGACATATTTCTTGATCTCAATGACTAGCATACAGGGCAAAATGAATAATAGCTTGGGGATTTTGGTGGTGGTAGGACTTTTTTTCCTTCTACTCTATGAGCCTATGCATTTTAATCTCTACTGCTTGGCTGGGATGTCTTCAGACTGTACCACAAGGTACAGTATATATGTAAAAGCCAACAGGGTCATTGTAATTGAATCTAAATAAGTTTGCTTAGGGCTGCAGAGGGCAAAGAAAAACTTGCTCMCTCTTTCAACCTTTGTATTAATTTTCCCTCAATTCAATTCCATCTAAGTCCTCTGTACTCTAGTTTTACAATCCAATTGCCATTTTTAACCAGGAAGAACATTGCTTAAAAACAACTTATTTGAAAACTACAAAAAGTAATTCCATAGAGACTTGCCACTTGACTGACACCTGTCATCTCATGATAAATGACTCCATTTTCTGCCTCTCTTGCCTTCTGCCACTCCAGCAATGGTCATTTATCATCATCTCTGTCAGCAATGGAAAGCAGCACTGACAGTGCAAGTCAGCAAACATTTAGCACATGGAACCACGCAACACAGGGAAATTATTATTGTCAGAATAATAATGGTTTAGCATAATTTATTACAGGTCCACCAAATAAGCAAAGGCTAGATGTTATTAGACAGATGGATGGGTAGGCTTGGCAGGCCTCCACTGAGACGCAGGCGGTGCTTGATGTGGAAAGGAGAACATCCTCCAACCCAATCAGAGAGCTGGCAGTTCAATTACAAAGAAATAAAGGGACATTCATCATTCAATTAGGCACCTGTCAACCCTCACAAAGGAGAAAACTTCTAACCTGGTACTCCTGGGAGAAGATGCTCAGCAGAGTGGCCTGCGATTGACTGGAACAAATAAAAGAAGGACAAAGTTAATTACTGGAGTGCACGGCAAAGAAACAAAAGAGAAAGGAGCTTCAAAGGTAGGCCTGCTGCCCTGTAATCTAACAGAACAYGAAAACAAGTGTGGAAAAGTTGTTCCAGATGAACACCTCAAACAAAGGCTTCCTGCTGCTAGGTCAAGGAGAGAGAAAAGGGAAAGGGAAAGATATGAATGGTCTCAAAGCAAGTATCATATTATTTGGATTTTTTAAAACTTTGGAATGATTGTAAATCATATCTGTAGTATACAATGGTGTTAAAAGGGACCACAAGAAAACAAGACTTATTTCCATAAACAAATGACACAGTCCAATCCTATAAAAGTAGAGAGAACATGTAGCTCATTCATTGGCAACATTCTGAAATTTATTTTGTTAGCAGATAGGTAATCTTTTCCACAGCTTCCCTAGATTCAGGGGTAAAACCTTTAGTCTTTATTAGAGGTAGCAAAGAGAACACTGGAGTTTTCCCACTGATTCTAGTGTGCTTTGAAAATAGAAACTTTCACAGTAGGAAGCAAAGGTCCTTGGAAGTGCATCATTCCCAAAGACTGCTATAAGCCTTACTTTACTCATGTAAAATTCCATGCAGCGTCAACACTTGGCAATGAAGCTACCTGGAAAGCATTCTTCCCGAGTGGGGATTTTCCTCTTGAAATTGTTAACATTTAGAAATGGAATGAAATTTTTCTTTCTACAAAAAGCAATCATACCCTACTCCTATTCTTTTTGATTGTCCTCAGTAGATATACTAACTTTATCTTAGCTTGAAAAGGATTATTACTGATTTATTTTCCTATTAAATGCTAATTCAAGTGACTATACTTTAAATAATTTATCTCACAGTATACCAAATCTCTGTGAATAATTAAAAATTTTCTATTCATGAATGAAATAGAATGAATGTGCCTCTTAGGCACATCAGAAGGAAACTGAATAGTGTGAAATAAAAATAGCACCATTCTTGTTTACTCACTGTCACAGCACTGTCATCTTTTGGATGCCATCATAGATTTGACTTCTAACCCTCTCCATCCATACAAAAGTACATAGTTAGTTTTAAAAAGATMCCATAAATGTTCACCAAGAAAAACAACAAAAATCAAGTAACTATTTCACTAAGTGAAAAGTATGGAGAAATTAATGAAAACCTTTATAAATTCACWAGAATCTCACTTTTCCAATTTCCTTTTAAAATTGTAAAACACCTTTGAAAAAGCCAATTTTGACATGGAAAAGCTTCCTATTATGCCTGGCTTGTCRGAGCTTAACATGCCAACCACATACCCTGGTCAGTTTGCTGCTGAAACTTTTCTGACAAAAATTACAAAATCAGGGCCAAATCTTCRTAAACTATTTGATACATTTAAATGTTAGACATTTATATGTAATAAATAGATTCCCTCATCACTATATAGCAAAATAGATTTATGTTATTAACCATTTAATGGTTCACACAGAAGGTCAGTCTTTAGGTTTCAAAATATATGATGGAAATAATGTGTTTGGAATGAATAAACAGGAGGAAACTAAACTGTAAATAGTTTTAAAAAGTGTATTTGTAGGTACCCAGAATGGGAAGACTAAGGGACAACTGGAGAAATAAATTCAATAAAAAACCATTCAAAGTGAAAAGCTAGTCAGGAATTGAGAGTATTATATAAATTCAAGATGAGATAATGCCTTTGGCCAGAAAAATTTCTTTAAGCTGCTTAGAATTCAATTCAGTTAAATACATGGACAGAGCCTATGGAGCAACACAGTTCCTCTGTGACCAACAGGACTTAGAAGATTCCAGCTTATACTATGGAGTAAAAGCTAACTGGAACTAAAATCAGAAAACAACTTACTTAAAACAACAAAAACATAGAACTGGGTCCAGTGCTAAGGAAGCTTCCTTATACCTATCTGTGCTGATCTTACCRAAGAGTAGTTCTGAATAAGTGCCACACCATAAAGAACAGAAAAGGAGTTTGGTGTAATGAACATATTGATAGCAGTGTGTATTGTACTCTCTCCCAGTGTGTCATTGCTAACAAGAAATACCACAGGGAAGGACTGGGCAGGTGTGGAGGGGAACAGAGTTATATGATATAAAATTTACAACCCTCTATGCTTCTGTCCTAAATTTTAAAGAAGGGTAAATGAAGGGAGAGAACCAGAGTAAAACAACAATTACACAGCTAGATCAGTGGCAGAGCTGCGAATCAAAACCAGATTCAATTCCAGACCCAAATTCTTAATTCCCATGGCAATCTGCCTTCCCAAGAGGTCCCAGAAATCAGTTCTGTATATCATCAATGCTAACACCACTACTTAAATATTTATGTTACATTGTACTCCAACCAACAGTGAAAAATGGGGCAGGTTGCTTTTTGGATAGAAAATTGAAGCCACAGGAGGTCAACTGTTTTGACCAAATTCCATGGCTCTAGACAATAGTCTCTTTAAAAATCAAATTTCCGTTTTCCTTTAATTAACTAAATAAAAAATTAATCTTTTTGTGCTGAGAGATAAAGGAACTAACTAGAGAWSATCATGCTAAGTGAAGTAAGTCTAACTCAAAAGGTTCAGGATTGTAATTTTCTCTTATAAGCAGAAGCTAAAGAGRAAAAAGGAAAACAAAGATGGGGCTAGATCTCCTAAAAACCAAAGGGAGATCAGTAGAGGAAAGGGACCAAGAGGTGGAAGGTGGGAAGGGATAGGGAAATGCTGTGGAGTTTTACTGGCCAAATTATACTGTTATATCATGTGCATGTATAAATATGTAACAACAATCCCATCAATATGCACAACTATAAWGCACTATTAAAAATATGGGGAAAAAAGAATATTTACTGCTGGAAATAGTTTAAAAGAGTGTTGGGTAATTTCTATCATTCTTCCTGCAGCTAAGGCATTTTTAAGGCATATTTTAACTATTAAAGTCTTGTTCTCTGTATATGTGTCTTTGACTCAAATGCTACTTACTGCATATAGAGCAGTATTAAATCCTTAGGTAAACAGAGCAAGTCTAAATAACCCAATCTTTCATATAGAAGACAATTTCCTCTATAAGTTTAATTTTTATAAAACAACATTTAATGAAGGGATTTTTAGTTACAAAATAGAACAAATTTCATGTAAAATCTTGATGTCCACAGTCAGTATTCATTCTGTTCTATAACCTTTGTTTTTTTCACTTTGCTAGATGATTTTGAATTTGTGTGTATGTGTGTGCATTGATACACACACATTAAAAACTGTGAGTGGTTTAAACGTATCTTTTTCTGTAACATGCCTTTATCTCATGCTAACACTTATCTGTGCCATTAAATATTCCTCTTTTTAAATTATTTTTATTGTGAATAAAACATATATTCCCCTGCTGCTCTGCCAAGAAAAAACACACGTGGAACAAATATGTAGTGCAACAAATTAATATTTAAAAAAAGAGAAACATGCAACCATTTAGATCAACAAACAACCCTGCCAACACCCCCCAAAACACCCTTGCAATTACCACCTCTTTCCTCTTACAAATGAACTGATTCTTCTGATCTTTCCTTGCTTCTCTTTATAGTTTTACCACTCAAATATGTATCCTTAGGTAATGCAGGTTAGTTTTGCCTGCTGACACACTTTACATGAAGTTCGTGAGACAGTATGTACTCTTTCACATCCAGCCTCTTTCATTCAATATATCTCTGAGAATCATCCATGCTAACATAAACATGGTCGACTCATTAACATTGCTCTCTAGTACCTTCTACTGCATGTACAACACTGCTGCTGTGAACTCACTCTTGTGTGAGTCTCTTGGTGCACATCTGCACAAATTTCTACTGAATATAAACACAGAGTAGAATCCAGGGTGGTCTGACATGCAAATCTCCAACTTTAATAGATACTGTTGAACAATCTTTCCAGAGGTTATAGCAATATTAAACTCCCACTAATGGTATAGGAGAGTTTCTATTGCTACACATTTCTCATCCCACTCCCTTCCAGTTCATAGTTTGCATTTTCCTTTTCTTTGTGGTGCCTTTTGAAGAGTCAAAGTTTTTAATTTTGATGAAGTCTAACATTATTTTTAATATTTTCTATGTCTTGTGTAAAAAATTTTGGCCTACTCACACTCCAGATATTTTCATTTAGAAGATTAATAGTGTTGGATTTTACATTTAATTCTTTGATCTATCTGGAATTAATTTTGTGTTGAGATATGTTAGTTTCTTTTTATTTTTTTCATGCAAATACACAATTGACTACACAATTTGCTTTTGAGTAAACCAAATTACTGACAGTCTATTTGAGGACTTTCTAATTTGTTCCACCCATTTCTGTGTTTATCTTTTCATGGATACTCAACTGTTTTGATTACTGCAACAAAACCATGTACATTTAATGTAAGTACTGCTATATCCACRTTTAACTCTACCTATTATATATAACTGTTCTCTACTTTCTCATATTCTTTTCAATCGATTTAACACTTATTCACTAACTTTCCTCATGCAACTTAGAGGCTATGCAGCCTTTTACTATTCTTTTAATGATTATCCTAGATAACTGCATCCCCAATTTTAAATGGTCAGGAATTGTGCCTTAAATATAAATATATTAAAACACAGTCTATAGTTCTCCCTCTTCACATACAGAACATTGTTTTAATCTTGCATATGTCTTAGATTCCCGCAAGAACAATATCTTTTTTATATAGTCTCTGCTGGTTAAGATTTACCTACATATGTTTCATTTCATGCTCTTCATTCTTTTCTCCTCCATTCTCCCGAGCTTCTGGGATTACAGGCCTGTGCCACCATGCCCAACTTAACTGTAAAATTCTGTTTAGAATTTGCTGGACTTAAATATATGGATGGTTATCACTTGTCATTTTAGGATTATGCTCAATCATAATTTCTTCAAACATTGATATTACACTCTCTCCTCTTCCTGAGATTCCTAAGTAGGTGAACGCTATTC